GCATGAGATGGAGCCTCTAGGAAATGTTAGGTCCTAAGAATTCCACCTTCCTTAATGGAATTAGTGTCTGCATGAAAACTGACCATATGATGTATTGAGACTGAGAAGTTAAAAACTGGACGAGGTCCTCCATACTGGTAGCCACTCTCTACAGAGTCCCAAGGCTGCCCAGAGCATCACTGGACAAGGCAAACCATCCTCACTCAAGCCATTTATCCTTTAAAACAATTTATATTGGTTGATTGACTGATTGATCGTGTGTGTGTGTGTGTGTGTGTGTGTGGTGTACACAGGTACTTATGTGGAGGTTAGAGAATAATTTTGTGGGAGCTGGTTTCCTCTCTGCCATGTATGTTTCCAAGACCAAACTCAGATCACCAGGCTTAGCAGCAAGTGATTTTACCCTCTGAGCCATCTTGCTATCCTTCTCTTTTTTATGTGAAAGACTCCCGGTTAGAGCCTCTCTAAATGGGGAGACCCCGCTTCCCAAGGAACAGCGAAACCAGCCTTCGGATGCAAGCCACAAGAGGTTTATTTCGATACACGGGTACCCGGGGCGACAAAGTCTCTCGGAGGACTTGCGCGCCCCCTGGGTGGAAAGCTGGGGTTTTTATAGGGTTTTAGAGCAGAAGCGCGGGTACAGAAGCGAGAAGCATGGTTACAGGGGGCTGATTGGTACATTTACATGAGACCACAGTTTGAGTCAGAGTTTGGCAGGGACACCAGGATTCCAGGAACTGGGTGGTTGAAACGGTCATGATGACCCCTTAACTTGGCCCGCCACATGTTGTTTTCCTTAGGACTCCTATCTCAACTGGAACAGTCTCACAGATATCCCATGAGGGTGATTAACACAAGCTGTTTTTTAGCTCGACTGGGGCAGCCTGACCGCAGATATGACACAGCTGGGTTTCTCAGTAATTTTCCAGTTCCCCACCTAGCCTACAGAGTTTCTCAAAACAGTGGTGTACTACAAAATAGTAGTTAGCTATGTTTAACTTAGGGTGAGGCGGGGGTCTTTCATTGAGCCACAGTTTATACATCAGCACCCTGCCTTTCAGCCTCACCTAACCTTGGTTACTTCATAGGACTCTTAATCTCTAAATATCACAGTCAAATTAAATTCCTTTTCTCTTAATATCTCACATCTGTGATTAAATTTTAACGGGGGTTTTAGAGGGAACATTTAAATGACAGCAGTGCCCCTAACAAAAGAGGTCTAATGGAGCCGTTTCACTGAATCCACTGTGTCACTTTTAGATATAGAACAGCCCAAAAGGCTAATGTTTTGGACATTTGGTCTGCATCTGGTGGCACTAGTGAGAGTTGCTAGGATCTCGCAGGTGCTGTGGATGAATTCACAGTTAAATGGGTTATAAGGAAGTGGGTATAGTTAGTCTGGTATAGTGGGTATAGTTAGCCTTTGGAAGTCATGTCATAGTCCCCTTCTGAACGTGCTTCCTGGTCACCATCAACTGGACAGCCTTCCTTCACCATGCCCCACTATTAGGAGGCGCTGTCTCTTTGGTTTTTGTTTTTAAAGATTTATTATTTATAATGTATACAGTGTTCTGTCTGTATGTACACCTGCACGCCAGAAGAGGTCACTCATAGATGGTTGTGAGCTACCATTTGGTTGCTGGGAATTGAACTCAGGACCTCTGGAAGACAGCAGCCAGTGCTCTTAACCTCTGAGCCATCTCTCCAGCCCCTGGAGGCGCTGTCTCGCTGCAGATTTAGTCATCTAGGCATGGATGACTCCATGCCACTGAGGACTAGAGTCTCTGAACCTAAGTAACACTTCCCTTGTGGGCTCCTGACACGGCTCAGAGGGCAAGGCTCTTGTCTCTCAGCCAAATGGCTTGAGTCTGAGTCTCCGAATCCACAGAAAAGTGGAAGGAGAGAACCGATTCCATGAGGTTGTCCTCTGTTCTCCACGTGTGCACCACAGCACATGTGGCACCTCAGCACTTGAGTGTGAGCACACACACACACACACACACACACACACACACACACACACACTCTCACACACACGCTTAAAACCTTCCACCTTTAAGCCAATTTAATCAAGTGCTTTGTTGGAATGATGGAGAGCTGACTGTCACACACCATGTTAGGAGTTAGGCAGGTGACATTTACGAAGCAGGGAACAAGCTCTAACGGTTCCATCTGCTGATATGTGATCTTGGACATTCCCATCTCCGGAGCTATGAAAAATAACTTCTCCTGTTTGTAAGCAACTCACTTTAAGGCGTTTTGTTATAGCAGCCTAAAGAGACTGAGACGAGAAGGTACTGCTCATAGCAACACAGGCTTATATACCTTTGGTGGGAATGTGTACAATGTGCACAGGCACTCACATGCATATACAAACACACGAACTATATCCTTCATCAAACATAGTTGTTGATGATATGGAAACAAGCCCGAGTAAAGACCGGAAGACAAAGTTATGAAGGGCATTTGTAATAATACATTTTTCCCTTTAAATAAAACAACAGGTCACTGACACAAAAATAGCTCTATTTTCCTTCCCTACAGGATCACCTCGATTTTGATGTTTCTAAATGTTCCTCTGGATCTTTGCAGAGTAGAGGTCTTTAGTGATGTCTATCTGGAGTAACGTCAGGGTTCCCTGGTTGTACATGGCAAGTCCCATTCTCCATGCTGCTCTCTCACTTTCTCCTTTAGTTGAATCTGTTACTCCCTTCTTTAGTTGAAGCTCGTGTCTTCTTGATTGGACATGCCATATGGCTTCCAACCCTAAGCCACTGGTTTCCAGTCTAAATCCCTCCAGTGGCTTCTTTAGAGGTAAGTACACAAATCTACAGCAATGCCTGCTGCAGCTACTACATAGCTGCATCCCCAACCTAACCCCTATCCTCAAGCCCACAGAGTTAGCCAGGTTCTGCTGGGCTTCAATTCAAGGACCTTAATAACAATATAAACGATCGATCCCTTCCTTTTCATTTGTGTTTTGATTGGTCTTTCGAATCAAAGGCCACACTCGAAGCCTCTCTACATCTCCTAATATTGTCCAGCTCTGTTCTTTTAAGAACGTACTTTGCTGCCATGACTTTAAAACATTTCAAGCAGGCAGGAGTTTGTCTCTAGGCAGGTCATGACATTTCCTTCCCTTTTGTTTCTATGTGTGAATGTGTTTTTAGTATTTTGGGGACATGTGCTTAGCATGGATTGCAATTAAGTTCAAGTAAGTAAGTTATGTCAAAATAGATCGCACTGTAATACTAGTGGACTTCCCTCTTTTGTTTGGTGGGTCTCTGCACCTTCTACTCTTGCTTCTTTTTCTCCCTCTTCCCTTTTCTTTCCTTTCTTCCTTTCCTCTTCCTTCCCTTTTATGACCCCCTAACTTGTCCTCTCTCTTCCCTTTCCCTCTTGCCTCCTTTCTTTCTCCTCTTTCTCCTTTCCTTTCCTTTCTCTTCCTTCTTTTCTTCTTTCTATTTCTTTTGTTCCCTCCCTTCTTTTTCTTTCTTCTCTTTCTCTTTCTTTCCTTTCTTTCTTTCTTTCTTTCTCTTTCTTCCTCTTTCTTCTTTTTCTTTCTTCCTCTTTCTTCTTTTTCTTTCTTTCTTTCTCTTTCTTTTCTTTCTTTCTTTCTTTCTTTCTTTCTTTCTTTCTCTCCTTCCTTCCTTCCTTCCTTCCTTCCTTCCTTCCTTCCTTCCTTCCTCCCTCCCTCCCTCCCTCCCTCCGCCTTTCTATGCTTCCTTCCTTCCTCTGCCTTTCTATTCTTGTTTCCTTTCTTCTGTCCTCCCCTCCCTCTTCCTTCCTTTTTCCTTTATTTTCTGCTCTCCTTTTTCTCCCTCTTTCTTTGTTCCTCTCTCTCCTCCTTTCCCTTTTCTCTCACTTTTTGACATTTCCCAGTCTGGCTCAAAATTCTTGAGCCTAAGAGATCCCCCTGCATCTATATCCCCCAAAGAGCTGAGACTACACATATGCCCCATGCCACCTAGGTATATGCTCTTTCCCATGACTATTTTTTAAAACTTTTGATCCCAAATCTTCTGTGCCCTTGCCCAGGTTTGTGTCTAGTTTTCTGAGCTGCCAATCCTGTTTAATTCTCTAACATTCAAAACCCTATTTTACTGTAAGTGCTTGTGATAATTTTTTATTATCTATTTATTTAATACAATTTATTAACTTTGTATTCCGGCTGTAGCCCCCCCCTTTCTCCTCCCAGTCCTGCCCTCCCTCCCTCTTCTCTTCCTATGCCACTCCCTGAGTCCACTGATAGGGGAGGTCCTCCTCCCTGTCCATCTGACCCTAGCCTATCAGGTCTGGTTGCATCATCTTCCTCTGTGGCCTGGCAAGGCTGCACTCCCCAGGGGGAGGTGATCAAAGAGCTGGCCACTGAGTTCTTATTAGAGATAGCCCTGTTCCCCTTACTAGGGAACCCACTTGGAGACTGAGCAACCTATGGGTTTCCTCTGAGCAGAGTCTAGGTCCTCTCCATGCATGGTCCTTGGTTGGAGCATTGGCCTCTGCAGTCCCCACCCCCTCCCGGCCCAGGTTTATATCCAAAGGTCCATCTTCAGGCCACCGGCTAATACTAGGAAAATTCCCATGCTTGCACCTGACACTGCCACAGCCCTAGGCCACCTGCTCAAACCCACCATTTGTCATAACTTTTTTTTAAAGCAGTATTTGCTTAATGAGTCTGTGTAAAAGCAAACATTACACACATACATACACACACACACACACACACACACACACACACACACACACACACACA